CCACAACACGATAATATAAATCAGAGTCTAATGTATAATAAAAGCCATTAGCTTGATGCACTCCTGGCTGCAGACGTATCACTCCTAGATTTGATGCTAAGAAATAGATCGAAATTTTTTTTTTTTTTTTAATGTACATTTACTTTCACCAAATCACCTGTTACCTTAAAAATGAAATGTATTGAGCACCTCAAGAACTAAAATACTTAGAAACTTAGAAATTAAATTATCTCAAAGTCAAAATACCCATGTTACAAATCTATCGATGAAAAATGCTATTTTTCCCATCCTTTTTTCACCACAGTCAATAATACGTTGACAGTGAAATTATATCCTTTTACAACTAACAAATTTTTGGGTAAATGATTCAATCTACTTAAAAGGAGCATCCGCAACTCTAACAATCTTTTCGAGGATAGCTCTTTGTTGATTTAGAGTTAAAAACAATTATTTGATGACGAGCTAGTGAAATATTAAACTGTGAAAGATATTACATTAATTTACTTATATCTTGTGATTACTTACCAATATAGACTTATTTCTAATATACTATTGATTAATGAATAAAAGTGCTAACCTCTGCAGGAAAGAATGGTGAAAACAAAGAGTATGAAACAAACACCATAAAGATGCAAAGACCATTGCTGGCGTAGATAACTATGTTGTGAAGAATGTGAAGAATCTTGGGTGAATCACCTCCGGAGGAACACTTTTCCTCTTTCTCGCTGATTCGGGGGCTGCTAATAATCAGGCTTTCCTTCTCACTGGATCGAATTTCTGAACTGTCGGTACTGCTCATTTTCCTTCTGAATGGATGCTACTATGACTAACTTGTCGACAACTTTTTGAACCTCTCAACAATAGCTTTCTTTTCAAAGAATGTAATAAATATTCAGCAACAAGTTTAAAAAAAGGAAATGTTAGAAAAATTAAATCTTTCTAGTTGTTTTCGGCGTTTAAACCGTCTTCTTTGTTTCCTTCCAACCAAAGGCCTTCAATAAATCAAATCTGGGAACTGGTCTAGTTTGACGCCTGCACGTGGGAAGTTTGGAGAGCAGATAATACGCGTAAGAGTTGCTCGAGGCGCAGCTGAGAGCATCTCTAGCTTCTTGAGCACTCTCAAAACTTTGCAAGGACTTCATATCTTGATAAAAGCACAGCTGACGAATAAAACAATTGGTTCATATGTCAGCATGCGTTCATCGAGATATGAAGCACTCGGAAAGTTGAAGAGCATCTCTAGCTTCTTCTAGTTTTACCTGTGTACATTGAGTTATTAACATAATTCAAATGGCGTCTGTCACCGTAGGTTACAATGATCTGGCGGTTTTTTTCTTCATTTTGCTTCATCCTTGATCAAAATATATACGCCCGTGTAGATCCTACAAACGAAAAGAAAATGTGCATAACAGTTGCATATGGAGAAGCCTTGACTGTGCTCTGTTCTGTTGTAAAGCACGCAGAAAGAGGCTAAAGCACGAAAAAAGTGTGGGAAGAAACACGAGATAGTCGAATGTTTCTCCCCACTTCTCCCCGCGCAGTAGTTTCAACTTTCAAAACAAACTTTATTTCCAAAGCTAACAATAGTGTCGTCAGCATGCTCTATACACTGATAAAGAACGCTACAACAAGCCAACCAGAATCTTTGTTTGGCTTTTCTAGACATCAAAATTTCAATTGAAGGCAACAGTCTATGCACTAGTGTTTACAATAAACCTACAGATTCCTATAGTTACTTATTGTATTCATCTTCGTATCCATCACACGTTAAGAATTCCTTTCCTTTTTTTTACAGTTTCTCAGACCTCGTCGCTTATCTAGTGACGACTCTGATTTTTCCGGAAAATCAGAGGGAAAATGCCAGCTTTTTGATAAACTTGGCTATCCTGTTTCTGGCGTTCAAGCGGGCCACCATCGCGCCCAACAAATTGATCGACAGTCAGCACTACAAACGGCTTAGAAGGAGAATACCAATCGCATTCCATTCACTCTCAAGCTATACTTCTCATCATTCCTCCTTTGTTCTGATTTGTTTGTGAATACTTAACTATATATACTACACGAGTGTTAGCTTTGTTTGATTTTTATCACCGTACGTAAGCTTGCAATCAAACTGAGCGTGAAAACCTTCAAAACTCGGACTGTCCATTTCATTTTCTCTTTGAGGGTTTTGTCTCTGTTCACCTTATAATAACATCAATTACGGCGCTTGGCACGTTTACAAACCTTTCTTTGGTTCTCCTATTGCTACTTTGCGGCTCGCTTGTTCCGAAATTTCATTTTAAATGAATGAAAAAAAGCTAGAGAGAAGTCCGGGAAATGGTCGGAGATACTACTATTTGGCGTAACAACTTTAGATCTGACATGGATTGATGCTACTCTGGTTTAAAGATTTAATGAATTTAACAGAGAAGTTATAATTCATAGACCCAAAGTTTCAACATTCCTGTCTACTGCCTTCGTCAGGGGTGATCTAAACGCTGCAACAAGTGGTCCTTTTATACGCTCACTAATTAGCTGTTTTCTGACGAGGTGTAAATAGGCGTCAGGAAGTAAGCTGCCGTCATCACGATTTAAAGTTGATATGCCAGGCTTCCAAACAAAGGCGCTGGTGGTAACGTCGACTAGTGGCGATAATTTTAGACTTATCCCACCCAATCGTATGGTTGGTTAGGCATGTGTACTCTGATAAAGCTGAAATTTCTTTTTCGCAAAAGAAGACCGCTTTTTGATGCTCTTTCAAACGTGTACCAAACTGACGTTTGGTCTGTCCGAATGATATTCGTTATCACAGTCATTGCGCGGAATAGAAAAAAGAGCGACGGTTCTTTCGTAACAGGCTCCTTAGGTTTGGCAAAAATATTCCCCAAAGTCTGAAAAGGTTTTTGAGCAACTTTAACGTCGTTGCTATTCAAAATTCTCTTGATGGGTTCCGTAACACCCTGAATGTAGGGATAACAGCAGAACCAGTCGCTGGTTCCCTCTCATCAGGAGTGGTACTAGTTGTAACTGGTTTTCGGCAGTTACGGAGAAAAGTTTTTGTGTAGCCATTCGCCTCTAGGACATGAGAAACATATTTCCTCTCTTCAGCCTTCTAATCGAGTGAAGATGGTAGACAGTCAGCCCTCCTGAGTAAAGTTTTGGCTACAGACTATTTATGGCAAATAGGGTAATGAGAATCGAAAGCGAGGTATTTGTCGGTGTGGGTAGGTTCACGATAGACACTTGTCTCTTAATTCCCCTGTTCCCATCTGTATACATTTAAATCAAGAAAGGGCAAATGTCTATCCTTTTCACGCTCAAGGGTAAATTGGATAGACGGCTCTACTAAATTAAAGTGCGATAGGAGGCGTTCCGCTTCATTTCTGGATACCGCGCAGAAATACCATCATCGACATATCGTTTCCAGAAAAAGGGTTTAACCGGTGAAGTGGCTAAAGCCCTTTGGTCCATGTCTTTCATTACCATATTGGCCATGACAGCAGAGACGGGCGAACCCACAGCTACACCAAAAATCTTTTGATAGTAGGTGCCGCTGTATGCAAATTGCGTGGTTTTGAGGTAAAAAGACAGCAGATGAATGATATCCTCTATAGGCAAAGAAGTTCTTTGTCCTAGGGAAGCATTTTCTCTGAGTCACTCCTACGCAACCTTAACGGCAAGATCAAATGGGATTTTAGTGAAGAGCGAAAGAACGTCGAAAGATACTAATTCTTCACAAGCGTTAAGAGTTTTATCTCTTATGAATTATGTAAATTCGCAAGAATTTTTGTCAGTGTAATCAGTATTCCCAACAACAGGCGACAAAATTCTCGCAAGATAACCAGAAATTGCATAAGTCGGAGAATTACCAAAAGAGACAATAGGTCTCAAAGGAATTCCCGGTTTAGGTAATTTAAGCTCTAAAAACGTGGAAGATAGAAATAAACTTGTAACTTGCTTGCTTAATTGCTAATAACACATGCACAGATACCTAAGCGATAATATACTAAGTATTTCGCAATTAAAACGCGTTAGCGTGCTGCATAGCCATTGGCTAAATCCAAATCTTATGACTTACATGCTGAACTAATTTCTCCATCTAAGGAAAGGACTAACATGTAACCTGCCTGTACCAAGTCCAGACCTCTCAGTTATCGATGTCTAGATTCATATTAATAGAGATAGTAGTGCTGATAGTTTAAACGTTTTAAGAAGGAATTGTATGAAAAACGCTAAATATTTCGAAATATGAACATTTTACACGTAAATTTAATAAAGTTTTCATATTTCGGAATGTTTAGCGTAGTAAATCGATCATACTTACAAAATTGTCTTTCAAGATCAAAATAAACGTTATTTTTCATGAAATTTTGTGGATTGTCACTCTTGTCGAATTTCAGCGTATAGAAACTTTTAGAAACTTAAAATTGCGAAAAAAAAGTTATGTTTAACGTAGGAGTTTAGTTCATGGCAAAGAGGTTGTAAGTGCGGTGTCGGTAGGCACCGTACGCAGTAAACAGAAATAAATGTCAGATCTCAAAGCGAAGTTTAGTGCAAAAATAGAGACGGAGTGTCACGCAATCACTTTGTAAGCTATTTCACTCCTGGGGCGTTAATCTTCGTTTTTCATTCTCCTTGCGGCTTCCCAAACTTGTTCAAGCGCTCCCAAACAAAACCGCCAGTAACGCACCTCGAATGCAAGAGCGCCGTCACAAATCCCCAAGAAAGCTCCAGTTAACACTTCAATAGAGTTTTGTTTCAGCGCAGCTCGCGGTTGCAAGCTGAATTCAACTTCAGGTGATGCTGAGAAAAAATGTTCTTTCAAATAGCTTGGATGCGAAATCAAAATTTATAACCGTTTAAAAATGCAAAGGACAGAAAATATTCAAATAAAAAAAAGCGAAAATTCGCGTGTAACTGGATATAGCTTCCTTCTATTGCGTGACTGGTCTTTCGTGAGATGGTGCAATAATTCGTACCCACGCCTAAAGCGGACTTTCGAGCCCTCTTAACTTTTCCTCTTTAGTCAATGTTTATTTATTTCGGAAGTAGAGTGTGCTTTAAAGGATTGCAAATAGGTATCGATGTTTTATTGATAGTATCATAAATTCTGATGGAAAATGTTAATAGTCCAGAGATTTCATTTACCAACCAGAGGAATGGCTTGCTAAACGACAGTTATCAATCCAACGAGAGAGTGCAGAACCCGGCGAGCTCACTTTGCACACTTCGTAACATATTTACTATCATTTCCATTTGTATTGTGTACTTTGTGGTGTTTGCAGCGTGTTCTGTGTATTCCCCATTCTTTCCCAGTGAGGTAAGCACTCGTATTTATTGATGAATGATATATACCAGAAGATGAGCAAATGAATGCTATTGTTAAAATAAAACTCAGTAAGTCACACAAATAATAACAAATCGTAATATCAACTGGGGGCTTTCTGCATACTGCCTTTCATCTGTCTCCTGGATAAGGAGTGTTGTTTCAAGGGGAGAGGGGTGAGGCAAGGCTATAGCAATAGGAGGAGCTTAGTGAGAATTATCGTGCATAGTTACCCTAATCATCGATTATTGAATCTAGAGTCAATTAAGTAGAAAGATTGATTTTTGTGCCAGTGTCATTTTTTTATTTTGTTTCATAAGTTTGTGATTTATCATCTAATTTATTTTTCTATGTTGACTTAAAGGCTAGAGATAAAGGTGTTTCTGGAGCTGTAGTGGGTTTGATCTTAGGAACTTATTCGTTTGTGATTTTCATCTTTTCGCCATTTTGTGGAGTTCTTGTAAGTATTTGACTCTTAATGATATCCGTGATATCTAAAATATTTGAACCATTTTTTGTATATTGACCATTATTCCCTTTTTCAGATTCAGTATTTTATTTTAGTAATAATTTCTATGATAAACAACTTGATCACATTCAGATCAGAGTGAGGCTCAACATGGCAGAACCTGAAAGAGTCTACTTTCATTTTAAGAGATTAATTTGCATGAAAGAAAATAGTCTATTATCGATGACAAATCTTTATTTTGCATCTTGAACCCTTTATACACTAATGGTGACAAACATCCAAGTTCTCCCCACAGTAATCCTGATGAGTCATTTGTTAAGATCATGAGAATAAAAGAAATGATCAGCAACCTGAGAAGCTTTGTTTGATGAATTCTCCTTGTCTGTACCAAATAAATGTAAAGAAAAGAGTTTGGAGAAAATAGATACTGACATTTGGGCGTAAAGGGACAATATGATGATTTATTAGAACCACATGGCCACAACTCAATTATACATAGTTTTCTCCTTGAATCAACAATTGAATTCCAAGCTTTTTCACAATCATTTACTGATGAGAAATTTTTATCAATTGCAGATAACAAAATATGGCCCTAGGTTTGTTCTCTACTCAGGGCTTGTTCTTTGTGGGGGATCACTGGTTTTATTTGGGTGAGCCAAAACAATGGATTTAATATGTATGATTTTTTCGGTATTTAATTACACAATGAATCCTTGAGTTGTAATCCTTCTTTCTTTGCATTACTCTTATTCTTGAACCTGTATTGATATGTACAGCTCTCAGATTCAGCACTTGTCCAATCGCTTGATCAGCTGGGCAAGAATTAAGCTAGTAAATATGCTGAGTAACGTTATAGACAGTCAAGATGAATTGGTCTTGAAAGTTAACTGTGAAAAGATCTATTTGTAAAGGCAAAAAGTAAGAAGTTAAAAAGACCTTTCTCCTTTATGGCTTGAAGGCTTTTTAAACAAAGAGGTATCTATAATGGCTTTCGTATTTTTCAGATTTTGTGGCCAGATTGTAGATCGGGATGCATTTACAGCTCTTTGCTTTATGTTAAGAGCAACATCTGCCATTGGAGGGGCTGCAGCTGAAACCTCGGCATTGACCATCTTATTGGAAAAATTCCCAGATAATGTTGGAATGGTTTCAGTATGTGGGATTTCGTTTCTTGAATTCAAACTATGTTATTTAATATATACATTGTTGGCCTTAAAATGTGAATATTATTAATATTCGGTTTAGAATATATGAAAGTCATATATTTGAACTGCGGATAAAGACATGAAAACTACTTAGGCAGTAGTGAAAATAAGGCCTGAAAAAAATTCATTCCTGTCTTTATCCGCAGTTCAAATATATGACTTTCATATATTCTTAACCGTATATTCATCACTTCACGGGTTTATTTAGAACCACCATCATGACCAGCTCCCAGTTGGCTTGTTAGCTCAGTTGGTAGAGCGCTGCACCGGTATCGCAGAGGTCATGGGTTCAAATCCCGTACAGGCCTGAAATTTTTTTCAGGCCTTATTTTCACTACTGCCTAAGTAGTGCACATCACTGCGAGGATCACTTTCATTCATATTATTAATATTGTCACATGCATGGTAACGATGTACTTTAAAGGGTAATTAAGATGAACTTCGAATTAGTTTATAAAAATATCTGTATCACAAAAATGTGGAGTTATTATATGGTATTGTGATGAACTTGTTTTGCA